TACTTCTGAAACTTTGTAATACTAGCAGATGCAAGGCTTCTGTCACCACTGTAATAAACGCCATTGCTACTGAACAAATGCCGTTGCTACTGAACAAACGCTGGTCACCACTGTAACATCCTCGATTTAAACTCCAAAGTATGCTTAGCTCTGCGAGCGGAGGCAAGGCTCAACTAGTCTGAATGAATGTGGTTTCTCCCTCGCGGATTTACAAGAGGGTAGGGAATTATTTGGCTAGGGGATGAAGGACGTCCAGATTTCAGGCCCTGTAAAGAGTTAGAAGAAATACAGGCTCAGAAGAAATACCGGACGTAACCCACTATGAAATAAGAATGGCCCTAAATCAACTAAAAACGAATAAATATCCGGGAGAGGATAAGATTACAGTTGAAATGTTGAAAATTAGGGGCAGAAAAATGGAACAGGTATTAAATATTTTACTTAATAAAGTAATTGATGAAGAACAGATTCCTCAAGAATGGCACAACTCCGAAGTCATTTTACTATTCAAGAAAGGAGATAAAGCAAACATCGAGAATTACCGACCAATATCCTTGCTATCACATCTGTATAAATTACTAACTAAAATCATAACCAACCGCCTAACGCATAAGCTCGATTTCTATCAACCTATCGAGCAGGCTGGTATTTTAATAGCATAGACCACTTGCACACTGTAAGAACACTGATAGAAAAATGCACCGAGTATAATGTTCCAATTCATATGGCGTTCGTCGATTTCCATAAAGCATTCGATTCCATCGAATTATGGGCAGTGCTTGAATCTCTAGAAAATACACGCATAGATTCAAGATACACTTACATAATTAAAAACATATATGAAAATGCCACCATGCATATAAAGCTGGACGAAAGCACAAAAACTAATCCCATAAGACTACAACGGGGAGTAAGACAAGGAGACACCATCTCTCCCAAACTATTTACCCTTTGCTCTAGAAGATATTTTTAAGAAACTGATCATACTTAAACCACTTGAGATTCGCAGATGACATAGTTTTAATAGCCGATAATGTCCAAGAACTAAATGATATGTTACAACAATTAAATGCAGTTTCAGGAGCGGTAGGCTTAAAAATGAACTACAGCAAAACAAAAATACTGAACCGAGACCAGACAAATATAACAATACAAAATCATACCATAGAAAATGTTGAACATTATGTATATCTAGGTCATGTTTTCAAACTAGGAAAACCAAATCAAGATGCTGAAATTAAAAGAAGAACACAACTGGCATGGGGCGCTTTCGGTAAACTATCACATATCTTGAAAAACACCTTCATTCCTATAAACTTAAAGAAAAAGGTGTATAACACATGCATACTACCAGTTTGTACCTACGGCTTGGAGACAGTAGCTCTTACCAAAAAATCTGCTAAAAAATTAGAAACAACGCAAAGAGCAATGGAACGAATCATGCTTGGAATATCACCAAGTCACAAGATTAGAAACATCGAGATAAGACGTAGAACGAAGATTAGGGATATTGTGGAGGAAATTACAAAAATAAAATGGTACTGGGCAGGTCACGTAGCCCGATATAATGACAACAGGTGGACATGGAGAATTCTAGAATGGAGACCAAGGACGACAACAAGAAGCATGGGGAGACCTCAAAAAAGATGGGTAGGTGACATAAGAGCAGCTTCAGGCAAACAGTGGATTAGATTGACGCAAGATAGAGAAAAATGGAAGCAATTGGGAGAGACCTACATTCAGGAGTGGATGGAAAATGGTTGACAAAGAAGAACAAGAGAAAGAGTTAGAGTCTATGGGCTTGCTTTAGAAGCCGGAGAAATGCACAAAGCCTCTTCTAGTCTCTACCTGTAAACGACTGGAAGAACAAAAAAAAAACAAATTTCAAACTTACTATATATTATTTAAATTATAAATCTACATTTAAGACAACAAATAAACGATATAAATAATTATTATTTTATCAAAGTTGCGAAGGGAGACGAGAAGAGACTTATCAAGAAATATAAAGGGTGGACAATCTACGATTATTTTGTATTTCCCTTGGTTAGATTTTATGTTTAGTTACCTTAGCGTATTTAGGCCCTAGCTAAAGAATACGCCTTTGTAGTCTAACTGGAAACAGTCTGCTGAGAGTACTGTACGCTATCACGTTTTCCCGAGAGACTGAAAATCCGGTACTTAAACTATCGTTCCCGTCGGATATAATACCGCGATAACGAAGTTGAACACACGGCTCTGGTCGTCGCACACTACCGGTGGCGAGCACTTGCTGAACACTACTGTCTCCGAGCACTCACTGGTGCCGGGCAACTACTGCCTCCGAGCACTCGCGGGTGCCGGACAACTACTGCGGTTGACCAATTTTACTTCGTTTTTTATGAACCCGTACCCTCAATTACAATCACAGTACCGAGGCGTCGCCTTACCGCCTCTCTCTCCTCGAGTTTTTGCTGATCGAGCCGTCTCTCCATGTGCTGAAAATGGATCATGCGGTGGTGTGGCTTGCTAGCTCAGCTCAATTCTCATTGCTGGTATATCGTTTTGTATTTGTATTATTTTCCAACGAATGTCTATGTTTTCGGAATTTTTAAACATTCGGAACGACCTGATATCGAACTTGTGTAATATACGTTAAACTAGGTCGAATTTTTATTCTTTGTTTAATTTAAAATGTATACGTTAAACTATGTCCAATTTTTTTTATTCTTTATGTAATTTGGAGTATATAATAATTATTTAATTAATTATTATTATTATTCTCTTGGCTAACTATCCTTTATTTTGTTTCTTTTATTTTCTTGCTATGTTGACTTGTTACATACCGGGCTAACAGATTTATGATTGCGCTTGGGGGTAAGGTTGTTTCCTTTGGGTAAGGGGCTGATACATTACAACTTTACTTTTAGGTACAATCAATTGAAGCTTAGATTCTGTACCATCATCGTTCTCAAAGGTTTTATGCAGAAGATGTTTTAGTACTAGGCAATTCCATTGGCTCCTGGTCATTAGACTTGACTTCTGGGCTATATGTACTTATGTCTTTTCAAGAAGGTCGCTTACATCGATATATACAATACTCTTTTTATACAGGGATCATCTGTTTGGGCGTCCTGTAGCTGTTAAGGTTGCCATTTATCATTAATGATGGTGGTTCGTCTAACGCGGCAAAGTCGCGATTACAAAGATTACAATTTGCATTGCATGGTCGTCTCTATAGAGTATCAACATTTAAGTGAACTCTTTCAGCTCTGTCTTCGATCTCGTAATCATGTACCTGTAATCGTTCCAACTATCTTGCCATCCGGCCTCTGGATTAGGGAACTATAGGAGCCATTTTAGAACAGCGTGATCCGTTCGAAGAAGGAACTTTCTACCATACAAGTATTTATGCAAATGTTCGCAAGCTTTCACTACGCCTAGTAATTCTCTTCTGGTAACGCAATAGTTTTGTTTCTGGATTCGATAAAACTTTGCTAAAATAAGCGATGACTTTTTCCTGTTCATTATGGATTTAGGGGAGAATAGCGCCTATTGCACTGTTCATCGGTATCCAAAACAAATTTTTCTGCCTGTTGCAGATAGCTTAAAATCGGTGCACTGATCGGAGCCATTTCTAGTTGTTCAAAAGTTTTTGATATTCTTCTTTCCATTGTTTCATTCCCATTATTTGCCTTCTTCCGTCAACTTTATTAGGGGCTTGGAGATATTGGCAAATCTTCGATAATATGTACATAGACCAAGGCAACTTCTTATTTCGTGTTTATTCTAAATTGCTGCAATTTTTCCAAAATCAACTGTTACACTATTACTCGATACAATATGTCCCAACTACTTAACTTCTCTTCGACACATATGACATTGCTTCGGACTTTGCACATTCGCTGCTCGCAGTCGTTGAATTGTTTTGCAAATTTGCTGCTTCGTGAAGTTTGACTAGCTGTTTTATGTTCCAAAAGCAATTGACGAAGATATAAACAGTAATTTTTTCCAACATGTTGTCTGGTGCCTCCGGATAAGCCAACCGCACTATACGAGCAACATCTGCTTCAAATTCTTGAAAATTCTCATTTGCTCGTTGAATTCTACTTCTTAGCTATGCTTGGTACACTTGTTGTAGATGGGCATCTCCATAACGTTTTTCAAGTCGAGTGAACATGGTTTGATGACATTTTTCTTGACTCTTCGGAATCGATCTTAGGATACTCTCAGCATCACCTCAGTCAAGAAAACTGACTTTCTTGTTTTTCTTTCATTGTTGTTTTTCTTTTCATTGTTTCTTCTGTCATTGTTGTTTTTTTTGTTCGGTCCAATGATTTGCTGTCGTAATAGCTTCAAATTATCTTGAAATAAGGAATGTGGATCAAGAAGACTTCCCATAAAATGGTGCCAATTTGAATCTCATATGATGCGTCGTTTCTTCTCCCGGTAATTCTTCTTTCAGTACATTATCTAAAACTACTGCATTAGCTGGTGGTAGCACTTTTGTATTGGTTATCATGATCTCTAATTAAAATTGCGCTGTCTTATTTTTTAATACCAGAACGTAAAAGATCGAAGAAATATGAATTATTTAAACTATACATAATAAAAAAGTAATCTAGAAATACAAAATGCATATCCGACTATAATAAATAATAATCTGGTATTTTATTTTATCAGACTCTAAAGCAAAGAAACTACTGCTTTCATTTAAGTGCAATATACTGTGTAAAATAAACTTCAAACAATAACATATCACAAATTCATAGAATCTCTGGAAACCTCACAATGTATCAGAATATTAAACTTTAAACTATTCGTGACAAAATTTCATTCCTTCTCTGTTATTTATTTATTGTCCGGACATAGTCATGGCCGAACACATTACCATATTCGAAAACTCAACTACTCAAGTTAATTTTATTATAGAACAATAACTACATAGTACAGACTTCAAAGATACGTTATTGACCTTAAATTTATAAAACATCTGGAAACATTATATATAAATTATTTACCGCTACAAGAGGAGTCCATTGATTATCTCGTTCAAATTCCTTACATAAGCATTTCTCTTTATAAAAACTCCCACACAGTCTGTCTGTCCTGTCCATTTTGAGACAATTTTTCACTTTATTCATGCATAACTATTCCTAAATTGACATTACTAAAATGCAATGTCATCTCAGTTCTAAGAATAAAGTCAGTATTGTCAATAAAGCTCTAAGCTAAATTTTTAGGATAAACAAAAATTTTATGACGAACCAACAAGTCCTAATGAAATGAATTGGTCGTAACTCGTAATGGTGTCTGATTATCAAACATTGGCTAATATTTTGTTTCGAAGAGATTCCGAAGCCAGGATGTTCTTCTTTAACCTAAGCCTCTTCTTCCGACATTATTACTCTATATTATGAGATGTTTTGTTATGAGATATAACTATTGTTTTAGTTATTTCTGTTTTCTTTTTCATTAGGTGTAAAACTACTTATTTCTTTCTTATTCTATCGATCCAACTTATCAGTAATATTCTTTGGTAGATCCGCTTCTCAAAAGCTTCCAAAATCCAAAACTTTCCATAGTGTCGTTGTAGGAACCCAGCTCTTCGCTACATACAGCCATATGGAGAATATGTACCTATTTGCTCATAATGTCTGCATCTTTCTTGCTGTATTCCATACGCTCTTATCATTTCTGTCTTGGCGACAAGCATAAATTTGATTTTAAAAGTGTTTCATCTTAGACCATATTCATCGGATATTAAAATCAAAACTGTGTTTTGCCTATCTGTTTTATTTTATTTTACATTCTAGAGTAAACTAATCTTAAAAAAATCAATGTTTGCTGAGTGTTTAAAAAATTGTCTTTTTTAACCAATGGTGTGATTCATTAGACTGATGGTGCAATAATCGCAAAATATTGTACAAACTCTAACGTTATGATTCAGTCGTTTCTTTAAGTAAACGAAATCTAACAGAAGCTTAACCAAAAGCATTTTCAATTATGCCTAATTACTTATGCATAATTATTTAAATCTGCTTTGCTCACAATGTATATTTCTAAATATATATGGGGTTTCATGATATCTGGTTTCATAGCAAAATCGTCTTCTGCTACTATAACTAAAGAAATTGGCTTAGTTGGCGTTGGTAGTAGTCTGCATTTTGGAATATTTAAACTATTTTTGTTCGGAAGCTATTTTCTTGTAGCATTTTAAAATAATTACTATATGAATGGGAATAAGCCACAATTGAAAGTTAAAATAAGTTTATTGTCTTTCCAATTTCCACTTCGGAAATCGTTCTCAAAATACAAACAATAAAATAAACAAATTTTGTTTTTTATTACTTGGTGAAAAAAGTCTTCTAATTTAATTTTATCTGACTCATTTATATTGACAATTCAGACATATATTATACATTTTAAAGTAGACGACATTAAAAAGATATTACCAATATTGCAGAGATGCGTTTCTGGGACGACTTTATTGTAAGATAAACTCATGGACGAAAATGTCGAATATTTTGGAATTTTTCAATTTTTTTTGTGTAGTCACTATTATTTCAAAATAATTTTAGATTTTACTCATATAGTAGGCTGATATAGTCAATTGGTTTAAAATATTTTGACGTTTATTCAGCGTTTAGTGTTATTCGTGCATTTTATTAATAAAAACCTTCTTCACGTAAAGGTAAAAAATCATAGTAATTGTTTTGTTGTTTTGATTTAACTAAGTTTAAAACAAATATGCCACTAATTCGATACTGTGATGAAGCCCAAGCAGCATAGATTGTAATTTTGTACAAGGAAGGACATACAAAAAAAATATCGCAGGGCGTCTCAGGAGAAGTGAATCTACAGTTTCGAATATTTTAAAAAGGTACCATGAGAACCAATTTTGTACGAAGGCCTGGTCAAGGACGTCCAAGGTGCACAACCGCAATTTATGACAATTTTTTGGTTCTTAATTCTGCAAGAAATTGCTCATTGACATCGATGTATCTCAGAAATGATTTACTACTTGTCAGACAAGTTAATGTGAGCTCAAAAACAGTTAGACGAAGATTAAAAGAAGCAAACTTAATGCCTAGACGTCCTGCAAAAGTTCTACGTCTTTTCCAAAATCATAAAGCTCGTCGTTTAGAATTCGCAAGAAGTCATATTCATTGGAATATCGACAACTAGAAAAATGTTCTTTTCACTGATGAGACCAGAATCCTAAGATGGTCAAAACCACGAGAGAACGACTCGCCACTTGCAATCTTACCCAGGCCGTTAGTTTTGGAGATGGTGGCATAATGCTTTCGGGAGGTACTAGTTGGGAGGTACCCACCGCACTTCTGGAAGTGATTGGACGAATAACTGGTGACACTTACGTTTAAAATATCCTACAAGATCATGTTTTGCCATATATTGGTTACATTGAATATGACAAATGCATTCTAATGCACGATAATGCTCGACCACATGCTGCTGCCATAGTAAGTTATTATCTTGATGAAATCCAAATTCAAAGATTGGATTTGATTTGGTCCGGATTTAAATCCAATAGAGCACATGTGGGATCAACTAAAACGCCGCATACGACAAAGAAATCCCTTCCAAATATGATAGAGCAGCTTCGGCTTGCTGCACAGCATAAATGGAATGCTATTTCCCAAGGATATGTTCAAAATTTACTTGCAAGCCTGTCAAGAAAGATGCAAGCAGTAGTAAAAGCTAGAGAGGGAATACTAGTTACTGAGCATGCACTTGTTTCAATTAAAACGACTTGTTTAAGCAATTTAAGTTAGCATTTCAGTTTAGAGTAAAAAGACCTTATTTATCTAGCATTAAGCATTATTTTTTTTGCAATTTTCTCCGCATATAAGTTTAAAATTGTTCATTAAACATTGTTAAAATAAACTCTTTTTCACAATAAACGACTTTATTGACCAGAATTTATTTTCAAAAAAAAAAAACATTGAAAATTTCAAAATATCCGATATTTTGTCCATGAGTGTAGTTCAATCGATTACATGAAATTAACTGTAACTTGAGAATATCCTTCCGAAAAAATCATAGCATGTAATTCGTCTTTAAAAAGACAATCGCATGCCATAATGACAGTAAAATTCTGCTGATAGTGATTCCATAGTAAATCATGAGGAGAAAACCAGAAAAATGCCTCGTAATACTATCTTGATATGGTGAGTATTTGGTCTTACATTTAGTTTTCTCGCAATAAACATCAGATTCTGGTTTTATATATACGTTATTTAAAAAATATAAATGATGTATCCTCGATATGTTACTGACTTACTAATAGTTATATTTTCTTTCTATTAACTTCCTCTTTTAATATTTTAATACGGGTAACCAAATCCTACTGCATTCTGCCGAGGAATTTGAGACACAATTGGTCTCATCTAGTATAATTAGAGCCGTTTCTTTGTTTTTTCTCTTTTTACCATATGTTTCTTTTAGGACTATACTTGAATCATTCCATTGAAACCTATGTTCATTTTTCCATACGTGTTTACATATTTGAGATCTATCAAATTCTCTATTTTTAACATAAGTTCACTATTCTAACATTTAATATCTTTGATGTTTCACCTAAATAATACTGATCGCATTTACAATGTATTTTATAAATACAAGTCTTTGTTCTTTCTTGTTCATTGTTAGGTTTAGTTTTAGATAAATTAATCTCAATGTGTTTGTTGTTTTGAATGTTGAATTTATTTCCTAACTTTTTAAGTTTTTTTGATAATCCTTTTATATGGTATTGTTATTTTCCTCGTATTATTCCTTGTGTATGCTGTTGGATCTCGTTCTAAGTTATGCTGTTCTATTCGGTCAATTGTTGAATATTCTTGATCTATAAACGATAAAGAATAATCATTTTTTAATAAAACAGATGTTAACAAATGTTTTCCTCTAAGAACGAATTTTCGTTAGAACAAGTCATGTTGTCTCTATCTTATAAGGATTTAATGATTCCCTTTTTAATATGGAGATTGTGATTTGATTGGTAATTTAAATATCTGCTGGCGTGTGTTGGGTTTCTATACACCTGATTCTCATATTCAGTACCGTTCTTATAGATTCAAATATCCAGGAAAGGTAGTGTGTTATTATATTGCCCTCTTCTTTATCGTTTATATCATTCATAAATAACTCTGAGCCATATTGAGAATACATTATCTCTATATCTTCACCATACTATGGGTTTTAAATTTTGTTTAGAAATAATATTTCTTTAAAATCTTCCATAAATATATCGTCTAATAATGGAGATAAACTATAGCCCATTGCTAGACCAAAATTTTGTTTATAGAATTAATTATTTAGTTGAAAATAGGTATTATCAGAATATAATGTCTATAACTTCATTATAGCTGATATATTTAGTCTTGTTCTAGTTGCCAATGTATTATCACTCTCTAATTTTGTCTTGATTATATTCAAACAAAGACTTTGTTAATTAAATGTTTATGCCAAAATTTACTAAAATATTATTTGAATTAAATTTAATATTTCATATGTTATTTAAAAAATGTGTATTTTTTATAAACGTGTCAATATTATTTGTAAATGGTTGTATATTTAATAAAAATTTTGATAGTTCACTACAAGGAGAATTCATGGTACTACAAATAGGTCTAAGTGGTATATTCTTTTTATGAACTTTCGGTACTCCATACAAAATATAAATATATACTCTATTTAAACTGTTATTAAATAGTTTCTTCGATAAGAAGAATGTATTAGGCACACCACACACCTATCAGAAATGTGTTCAAAACTTGAATTTGCACGTATAAAACTTTGTGTTTTGTGGTTATTTTAAATTATAATATTTTGTTTGTTTGTTTAATTTTATTCTGAAGTTTTTTTTCTTGTGGCATCTTAAAGTAATTACTATTTTAATAGAAATTAGCCACAATTGAAGTTTAAAATAAGTTTATTGAGTGTTTTAAGAACAATTTCCGAAGTGAAAATTGCAACGCCAATAAACTTATTTAGACTTTAATTTTGACTTATTCCAATTAAAATAGTAATTTTTTATAATTATTATTATATTATAATATATAGACAATATTTTTTAATATTAGAATATTTTTAAATTTGTCGTCAAACACTTTTAATAAATTGAACTGAGCAGTTC